GTTTTAATGTTTTGTCGTGTCGGTGCCGGTACGTGTCGTTGCCGGAACATGCCAGTATAGTCTGAATCGACCTTTATTCATTTAAACCTCGTAGGCTTATCAAAACAATTTAACTTTTTTTTGTGTTATGTTGATAGCACTCTATGAGACGTCTGTGTCAAACTGTATGTTGATACAGTTTGATATGCAATAGTCGTTGAGAATCGTTTATTTATTTTAACCCAAAAAGATGCTTTCGGCGAATTTCAGAATGTGTGAAGGAATTCAGCAAAGAGTTTGTATTCCATTTTGCTACAAAAATGTAATTTTTTGTAAAAAAAAAAGGGCGTTGGAGACAATTCAATGCCCCGAGCAATTTTTTGATTGGTATAAATTATTCAAAGACAGAGAACGCATTTAAGATGATGAACGCCTTGGACGCTCTTCGACATCTACCGATGGAAATCACGTCAAGGAAATCGAAGATCTGGTGCTCAAAAATCGACGATTAACAATTAGAGACCGTATCGACATGGTCGGAATATCATTCGGATCGATTCAATCGATTTTGAAAGACAAATTGGGTCTCAGGCGAGTCAATGCACGTTTGGTTCCAAAGACACCCACTTTGTTCGAAAAAGAAAGGCGTGTTAACTAAGGATGGCGTGAAAAATCACTAACAATGATTTTTCACGGTGATCACACAATCACGATCGCAGTCGTGATTAAACTTCGATCACGACCGTGATCCGGAAGATGGCGTTTCAAAAGCGGTTCATGTTAATTGTTATCGTTAGTGTATCCCTGTCACCCCTTAGCGGAAATTCAAGAAGCTACAAATGAATTAAATTTAAATTGTATCAAAATTATATTAACATTGCTTTTAGACCATATTATAACACATATATAATCTAAGAACAACATGATTCGTGAAAAGTAAAAAGAATGTTCACTACCAATCAGAAGCGATCACGAAGAACCACGAATCACTGTAAAAAATCATCGTGATTGAAAATGAACGTGATTGAATCACGAGTGATTAAAAAGTTGCAGTTCACGCCATCTCTAGTGTTAACATCTGTGAAGAGATATTTTCCAAATACCAACCGGTCATGCGACGCATTATTACAGGTGATGAGACGTGGATTTACGCTTTCGATCTAAAAAATCGAGCGAATATCGAGCGAAAGGTGAACCAAGACCGAAAAAATCGGTCCATAGAAAACATTCAACGAGAATCGCTGCACGCCCTGAAGGCTATTCCAGAAATCGAATTTAAGCGTTGTTTCGAAGACTGGAAATAACGTTGACAAAAGTGTATCTTGGCTAAAGTGTTCTCCAATGGAGACTACTTTGAAGGGGATAAAATAAATTTGGAAAATTAAATAAGCTGTTTGTGTTTTATTTGAAGAGTCTTACTATTTTTTGATCACAGTAGTATATGTTCATACTACTGGCACATTATACATAGATTCATGACGGGCGAAGTTTCAGCGATTTGATGATCTTATAATAGAATTTATTAACTTGGAATTTGTTGGGAATAATTAGGCTTCGGGATTCATGGTTTATTTAAATAAATTATTTAATTAAGTATAGGGAATTTGTATATCTTTAGCGATGCATGAGGGACTTCCGTTTCCGGTGAAAGTGTGTATGAACAGTGTGAAAGATGTAAGGAGGATTTTTTAGCGATTGTGTGGGTAAAGTTTAGAAGTAGGAGGATAGTAGGATAGGGTTGAGTAGTGTTAGTGAAGGGCCAGTGTGCGAGTGCAGAAAATCGTGAAGGGAATAAGTAGTGGGAAAGGAAAATAGAGTAGAATTGCGCGGTGCGGAGAGCGCAGGAAGAATATAGAACGCGCGAAAATTTAAATAAGAGGGTGGATGATGCGAGGGGAGAAGGGAAGTGTGTGGAAGTCTCATTGGTAGGGAACGGTGTCGGGAGAATCTCGGAGGGGAAAAAGAGAGGGAGACCGACAAAAGCAGAGGGGTGGAATAGGGAGAGGAAGAGGAGTTTCGGGAACATAGAACATTTGTTGAACAAAGGGAAGAGGAAGGAGAGAGATTTGGAAGGGGAGAGGAACGTGGGGGGAAAAGAGGAAATTTTTAAAAGAAGTAAGAAGATAGAAAGAACCCCGGAAAAGTTAGAGGTAGGAAAATCGGAGTTAGAGAAAATGCTGGAAGAGATGAGGGAGAGGATAAGAAAAGACATTAGAGAGAATATAAAGAAAATAGCGAAGGAGGTAGAAGAAGGAAGAGAGGAAATGATAAGGCAGCCGAGTGAGATGAGGGATAGTTGGGAAAGAGAAAGGGCAGAGTTACTGGGGAAGAGAAAGGAGATGGGAGGGGAGAGAGATGAGGAGTGAAGGCAAGAGATGAATAAGAAGGTAAGGGAGTTAGCAACAAAAATGGATAAAAAGGAGAGGAAAGAGAGAAGGAACAATATTATAATAAAAGGGGTGAAGGTGGAAGGGAAGGGGGATACAAAGACGGTAGAAGAGATCACGGAGAGAATAGGTGTGAAAGAAAAAATGGAAGAAGTAAGGAGGGTGGGAAAGGTGGATAGAGACGGAGGAATTATGATTTTGGTGAAGATGGAAAGAATGGAGGGAAAGAAGAGAGTAATGCTGGCGAATAGGGAATTAAAAGGGAGACCTGAAAGATAGAGGGAGAAGCTGAACGGGAGAGAAGTGAAGGAAGGAGAGTGCAAATAGAATATATGAAGATGTGGCTAAACAATGAAATAAAGAGATGGGATGAAGTAGAAGAAAAATAGAGAGAAGAACAGGGAAACGGACAAAGGAGGGTTCAGAACGAACAGGAGAAATAGAGGAGTATGCGGAAAGAAAATTAGAAAGGAGGTCAGGAGAAGAAAGGAGATTGTAGAAGGTGGCGTTTTGAAATTATTTCATTGTTTAGCCACATCTTCATATATTGGCAAGGGTTAAAGGACAAAGATAGGGACTTTTGGGAGGGAATAAACGAATGGGATATAGTGATTATGTGTGAAACGTGGATGGGTAAAAGGGAGTGGGAGGGTGTGAGAAGTAAGGCGAAGAAAGAATACCTGTGGGAGGTATAGTATGCGGAAAGGAGAGGAAAGAAAGGAAGGGCGATGGGGGGAATGATCATAGGGGTAAGGAACGAATTAAAATGATGAAAGTGGAAAGGGACGAGAAGGAAAAGGGAATAGTAGCGAGGGAAATATGGCTAGGAAGAGATGTATGGAATATGATAGGGGTGTATGTTAATAAGTATCTCCAGAAGAAGATGGAAAGACTGAAGGAATGGATGGACGAAAGGGAAAAGGGAGTAAGGGTTATAATTGAAGAAGAGACAAGAAGATCGAAGGATAAGAAAATAGGTGAGCGAAAAAGACTGTGTCAATTGTTGGGAGAGCTAGGGTGGGGGATAATGAACGGAGATGTGAAAAGGGATGAAGAGGGCGAATTCAGGTGTACAGGAAATGGAGAATCGGTGATTGTCTATGTGATTGGCAATGAAGAGACTAGGAAAAGCGTGGAAAGGTTGGTCGTAGAGGAGAAAGTGGAGTCAGACCATCATCCAGTAGTAGTGTGGATAGAGGGAGGAAAAGGGGAAGGTAGAAGGAAATGGAGGAAAAAAGGGTGATGGACAGAAGAAAGAAAGAAGGAATTTGCGGAAAGGTTTGAGAATAAGGAAAGACTGAGAAAATAAGTTCACTGATGCAAACAATTAGCGGAACACTTTTTCAAAGGGGGTGAGGGTTCATTCAAAGGGGTAATGCAGAAAAACGGCACTTCAGAAGGATCCAGGGATGACGAAGGGGGTTGACAAATTCAAAAAAACCTTTGGGGCGACTCTCCTTGATGCCCTCTACAAAATGCACCCCTTGAAATCCCTCTCGGACAAACCCACCCCCCGCAACCTCCCACCCCCTCTAAAATTCACAATTTTTGGACGACGGCCTTGATTTTACACTCAATGCATTCTCTGGACTCCCCTGATCCAGAAAATGCCATCACCCATACCATGCACCCCATAGACACCCCTTTGGGGGTGGAACAACTCGCGAATTTTTAACCCCCTTCGTAAGGGAGCACTTCTACACATCTGAGGCCAATGAAATTCACCATGTTTGTTCTGGATACGTTAAGGATAAATGCCAAAAAGATCCTGTTTCGAAAACTGCCCCCGGAGCTGAAGGGGGAGGGCAGAGGTAGGGGTGGTCTACCCCCAAGTGTAAGGGTTGGAACGTTGCTTCGTTGCATGGATTACATGTCCAACAGTACAGGGCATCGGGGCGACACAGTTTTGATGTCTTTTCCCCGCGTGAATGGCAATAAAATACGAAAATGTTGTTTTTTAGGGAAAACCCACCCCCAACTTCAGGCCCATCTACAGGGTGAACGAACAAATCCCACGTCAACGCCGTTCATGGTGTCGGATGCGCGAATGCTTTATTAACAGGTCCCCAAAAATTCAGATTTTTTTAATCACGCTTTCGTTGTCAAATCGGAGCAGATTTGAAAGAGTAGTAAGTGGGCTGGCATTCAAAAGTGGTGCGAGACCCTGCGCCCGTACGTGGTCAGCCTATGTTAAATTGGAGTCCGGTCTGGTCTGACCACGTACTGGAGACGGTGTGCCAGGATATCTAAAGAAGAATTGGGAGGAAAGGAGGTGGCAGGATATAGAGGAGGAGGTAAAATGAAGGAGGGAAGGTATTGGGAAGAGGGGGAGAGAAGGACCTGCCGGATATGTTGGAAAGGACTAGAGTCGTGGGAGCATGTGTGGGAGGAATGTACGGACTGGCGGAGAAGCAAGGGGTGGGAAATGCGGTAATGGAAGTATCAGAAGACGAAGGCGAAGGGCAGGTGTAGATGAAGAGAGTGGAAGAAATAAGAAAAAGCAGTGAGCAGTGGAAACGGGAGTTCGGAAGGAGGAGGTGGGTGAATGAAGAAATGTGTGAGGAATAAGTGGGTGAAAATGAACAATCTCTCTCTCTCTCTCTCTCTCTCTCTCTCTCTCTCTCTCTCTCTCTCTCTCTCT